ACTTATTGACTTAAGACATTTCAGCTTTTCATTATTTATTAATTTGTAAAAATTAATAAAAACATAATTCCACTTTGACATTATGGGGAATTGTTTGTAAGCCAGTGACACAAAATCTCAATTTAATCCATTTTAAATTCAGGCTGTAACACAACAAAATGTGGAATAAGTCAAGGTGCTCGAGGGCGCCAAGCTGCCCATCATAACGCACACCTGTCACCATCGTTACGTCCATCAGCGCTCATTGGACTCACCTGGACTCCTTCCCTTTGTTAATTACCTCCCCTATATCTGTCTGTTCCTCTGTTTGATCCCCGTGTCAGCATTGGTGTTGTTTTGTTTCCCCTGTCCAGACGCTGTCCGTGTTTTGTTCCATGTCTTTTATTTATTAAATCATCACTCTGTACTTGCTTCCCATCTCCCAGCATCTGTCGAACCGATATCGTCACAAAAGGGGTGTGAATACTTTCTGAAGGCACTGTATGTAGAATGAGCAACTCGGCTATGGATGGTATCACCAATGGTATTCCTGCCTTTGTTGCCATAGGTATACCTAACCCTACAGTGTATAATTTGGGAGTCTTTGATGAAAATGCTCAAAATGCTCACACTTGCCCTTGTTGACAAGTGTCATACAGATTCCAATAGCTGTCTGTTAAACTTTGAGCCTGAGCAGTAAACACTGTGCACATGCTGAACTCTGTTGTCGGATCATACAATTAAAGAAGAGCAAATAAGCAAAGACAAGGACAGCTAAGTGGCATAGGTGGAAATGAGGTTCAGGCTACTGCAGCTAGAGTCCTTTTGAATCATAGTCTGGTCCCAGATCAGTTTGTAGGCTACTGTCTTGCCAACTCCTATTGTGCTTGCCATGCCAAGACACAAACAGGCCACAAAAGTTATTGGAGAGTACAAGTTATCGGGTCCTCCAGCCAGTGGGCAGGAGTCTTATTCATCCTGCCTCAGTGAGCAGAGCTGGACTAGCCTGTTCCCAGATCTGTTTGTGCTGTCTTGACATGACAACGACCATAGGGGTCAGCAAGAGCACAAGCAGATCTGGGACCAGGCTAAAGTTGGACCACATTTCCAGCCCTACAAGACCTTGCCTAAACCCCCCAAAGGCGTTACTACAGGAGTCGACACAAGGAACCCCAAGTTCTTGTTTATTTCTGTGAGGCACAATACCACCAGGCAATCTGTCAAGACACAGAGCACAGAAAGCACTTTTAGGGACATAATTGTTAATTGAGAGGAAGGGAGATTCAATTGCATTAGTATCCCAACCCAGAGAAAAGTTAGCTTTTTGTGGAATCGAATTAAGCAGCATATTATGGTCTGAAGCAAACTGCCCTTTAACTGTTGTAATACGTTTAATGAACTAAAATCTAGCTAACTACTCAGATAAATGTATGAGAGTACACAGAGACCGGGATAAAAATAGAAATGTGCACAACAATGACTTACTGTATACAATCTATAGAGAGATAATAAGTAAATTACATAATTATTTAATAATTGTGTATTATATTAATAATATGGGTATTTTTCAGTGGCTGAATTATGAAATGATACACACTGAGAGGAATCAAAATGGCTGTCAGTATCAGTGGTCAGGCCTATACAAGCTTGGTTTTACCCACCTCCTATGTACACTAACATAATTGTGTTCCCTAATAATTCCCTAGCCTCTGAATAGGTCTGTCAAATCCAGTCACCCACCCACCCAGTCACACACAGGCACCGCGTGACAAAGGTATTAATTTTGCCTCCCGTAGACAGCAGTTTTCTCACACACGAGGAGGAGGGAAGGCAGAAGATCTGCTTAGGCTCTCAGAAGCCTGAACAGTGTACCATAGCTACAGTAACAGTACCATCTCTACACACAAATCAGAGCAGCTGCAATCGCTCAGCCAATCAGACTCCTGCCTCCTTATGCAGCATACAATAATTCTACCTGGTGTAACTGGGTGATTCCCACAGCTCCTGAACTGAACAATAATGTGGCATTTCAAGAGAAAATGATTAATAAGGAGAGGTTATGTGCCTTTAAATTCTAGCTACGATATGGCTGCCATTTTGCTCTCTGACTGTCTTTATTTACAGAAACTGGAATTAACCCTGATTACCTTGGCACACATATACCTTATATGTAACGTCACACTGTCATTCTCAGACAATACCCTGTAAATGTCATTGTGTTGGTTCAAAGACACAATGGATTAAAGTACATGCTTTAGAAAAACAAACAAGCAGGTAAATGGAAACTCTAACAACACCAATTTCAGGTCATGTCTCTCCACTTCTCTGTCAGCTGGCAGGTAGATACGTTAGCCTTTTTTCTATAACTAAAGGAGGAAAATCAGAGTATCATAGCCTGGCCCAACCCATCGGTTTCTGGGACCGATCAGAACGGTTAGAGTGTGTTTGCGTTCTAGAAATGTCAAGGATGTACTCAGATCCAGACTCATTGCTGAGAAGAAACTAACGTCCGTGGGTGTGGCATAGCGTTTGGCCGGAGCAAGGAGTTTGGGTAGCCAGGCAAGCCTTTTGGGGGCCCTCCAGTAGCTCAGTTGGTAGAGCATGGCGCTTGCAACGCCAGGGTTGTGGGTTCAATTCCCACGGGGGGCCAGTATGAAAAATGTATGCACTCACTAACTGTAAGTCGCTCTGGATAAGAGCGTCTGCTAAATCAAATCAAATCAAATCAAATTTTATTGGTCACATGCGCCGAATACAACAGGTGCAGACATTACAGTGAAATGCTTACTTACAGCCCTTAACCAACAGTGCATTTATTTTAAACAAAAAAAGTAAGAATAAAACAACAACAAAAAAAGTGTTGAGAAAAAAAGAGCAGAAGTAAAATAAAGTGACAGTAGGGAGGCTATATATACAGGGGGGTACCGTTGCAGAGTCAATGTGCGGGGGCACCGGCTAGTTGAGGTAGTTGAGGTAATATGTACATGTGGGTAGAGTTAAAGTGACTATGCATAAATACTTAACAGAGTAGCAGCAGCGTAAAAAGGATGGGGTGGGGGGGCAGTGCAAATAGTCCGGGTAGCCATGATTAGCTGTTCAGGAGTCTTATGGCTTGGGGGTAGAAGCTGTTGAGAAGTCTTTTGGACCTAGACTTGGCACTCCGGTACCGCTTGCCGTGCGGTAGCAGAGAGAACAGTCTATGACTAGGGTGGCTGGAGTCTTTTACAATTTTGAGGGCCTTCCTCTGACACCGCCTGGTATAGAGGTCCTGGATGGCAGGAAGCTTTGCCCCAGTGATGTACTGGGCCGTACGCACTACCCTCTGTAGTGCCTTGCGGTCAGAGGCCAAGCAGTTGCCATACCAGGCGGTGATGCAACCAGTCAGGATGCTCTCGATGGTGCAGCTGTAGAATTTTTTGAGGATCTGAGGACCCATGCCAAATCTTTTTAGTCTCCTGAGGGGGAATAGGCTTTGTCGTGCCCTCTTCACGACTGTCTTTGGACCATGATAGTTCGTTGGTGATGTGGACCATAAATTCCAAATGACTAAAATGTAAATGTAAAGACATGTAGCTACCATCTTAATCTTTATTCTTTGTAGTGCTGATACTTCCTCACTAGTCTATGCTATATATACAGAGAGAAGCCCAACCTGAGTCCCCATGGTGGGGCTATGATTTAGCAGATATACTGGTGGTACTGACTGAGCTCCACAAGCCCAACCTGATCCCCTGTAGTGGGGCTATGACCGGTCAGAGACAGTCCTGGTAGCTGGTGGTTCTCCCTGTGCTCCACTGATATAGTTAGACAGCAGATTTGGCCCCTCTGTGCTATAGGGATTCTCTGGAGCTACAGTCAGTAACGCAGACTCTGCATGGCTTGGCTGCAGTCTGCAGAATACATGGCTTCGTCACCACACTGCTTTTGCATAGCAATCTGAGGGAGTGCAACACTCCATTCTATTATCCCAATTATATTATCTCAAGTGTACATTAATCTCAAATGTACATTGTTATCCATGTAAACTAAAGTAGTTAGAGATTAGCAGTTATGAGCCTTTAAGTGATATAACAGCCTACCAATAATGGTCTAGCAACACGAGAGAGAGAAAAAGAACACACTGGAAAAGCTCTATTTTAGTAACAAAGCTATAACACAAATAATAGACATCTAGAAATATTTTGAGGCTGTGCTGGCTACCAAGCAAACCGGGAACATTCCCAGGACATTAGCTAACATTCCCATTAATTTCTAGTTACGACGATAACATCCCAAAAACATACAAATAGTGTTAGGATGATAACATCACATAAACATTCAAATAATGTTCAAATAATGTTTTTCAGAAGAACATGTTAAATGACAGGCAACATTTTTGTTGAGCAAACTTTTTTTTACAGTGTATCCTTGGAATGTTCTACTAACATTCACTAAAATGTTGTGCATCTGTAACAACCACCACAGAATATTCCCTTAAGGTTCTCATTAGGTTTCCAGGTAACGTAATAACAACATTTGTTCTTGGAACGTTCTTGCAATATCCGGCAAATGTTTATTACAAACATTGTATAATCATTAGCACAAGTGGACAGTTTATTATTAGAACTTTTGGGGCAACCGAATGAATGTCCTGGTAATGTTCACAGAACCAATATTGGTTTGCTATCTACACATAACTTTTGTAAGGAATCAGTGGCCATTCAGCTCAGTCTTCAGAGACTGTTCTGGATAATGATGAGAATAATATTGGCTGGCCGGGCTCTGCCTTGTGTTTCTCTCAGCCCCTGATGAGATAAAGAGCTGTATCTGGCCCTGGGTCTGCAGAGGTAGGGAAAGGATTCATGTAAGAGCTGTCACCGTCTCCATCTCTGACAGCAGAGGGAGGGAGGGGGCTGATGGAAGAGCTGCCACTGTGTCTCTGACCGCAGAGGAAGGGAGGGGACTGATGGAAGAGATGCCACTGTCTCCGTCTCTGACAGTGGAGGGAGGGGACTGAAGGAAGGGCTGTCACTGTCTCTGACTTAAGAGGGAGGAAGGGGACTGATGGAAGAGCTGCCACTGTCTCGGTCTGTGACAGCATAGGGAGGGAGGGGACTGATGGAAGAGCCAGGCTGAAGGAATGTCAGGAATGCTGGAGACAGCAGCTCCAGACTGCAGTAGGCCCTGGCTGCAGTGGGACCCGGCTGCAGCCGCAGCAGATCTCCCTTATCCAACAGAAAGGGCTAATTTAATGATAGACTGCAGTGTTAGGGACATTATGACAGCAGAGGACTGTGTTTGTCCTTCCCTTGTTGTGATAATGTGCTGTAGTACTGCTAACGCGCTGCAACAGTTTGGTGTGTGACTAACTGAGTGCCCATTGCCTTTCCCTCTCACTGACTAGCTGCATATAGGGTTGGATACTGTGTGTCACTTTCTTTCACTCACGGTTTATTAATCTATTTATTTCGTTTGGTTACACCAAAATAACTATGTATTCCATACAGTGCGAAACAAAGCTGTGTGAGCAGAGAAGTAACAACTTGAGAGAGAGAGAGAGAGAGAGAGAGAGAGACTCAGAACTGAGGAGAAACTGCCGTAAGCAGTATCCATCCTGTATCTATTGTGACAGATCATACAGATTTCTTGTCACTGCAGTTTTGTTTTATATTTGTATTATCAACCATCTGTGTAAAACCATGGAATATATGATTTCCTGTCTCTAACTTCCTCTACCATGACACGTTGTTCCTATCCCAGGAACAACACAGCTGTGCAAACTGGATGTGTGTGGACTACATGTGTATTGGCTCCATGAAAATATTTAGTATGCCCAAAAGCATGCAGCCAGCGATGGGAAAGATCTTTTCAAATCGGCCTATGCCAGAGATGAACTATCCAGAGGTTAGACCTTGGCAACGGCACAGGTGCTACAGTTTGTGCCTGCAAGTCTACAGTAGCTGGTCTGCTTTATTGAGCTTGCCTGGCTTAATGGACCAATAGAATAGTCCTGCAAATGTAAATCCCACCCATCTGGCACTCCAGGCAGACTAAAGCAAACACTCAAAGGTCTGGCTCAGAGAGAGGGGCACTGTAAGACTTTTCTGTAATCTCAACAGTAAAACACTGTAGAATTGGTGGTCAGAGAACGTCTCTGGAGCCGCTGAGCTAGAGGAGTGTGTATTAATCCTGCTGTAGGACTCATTGCGGCCAGCATTAGCAGGTCAAACGAAGGACTAAATTGAACGAGTCACTCAGAAAAACAAATCATGACTCTCGAGTCAGTAAAAAGAGTCGTTCAAAAATAGCAGTGCATTCTGCCAAGAGTCGTTCACAATCTAGTCTGGCCACAACTATACCTCGTTTCAAATGTATCAAGAAATAATTGAATTTGTATGCCTAGCAATCAACAAATGTACATTGCTTAAAGCACACATTTACAAGTCTCAGTCACAAAAAACAGCTCCAATAAGCCCCCTATGGTTAACGAAATGTGAACAAGAGGCTTGTTGAAAAATGACTTTTTCGAGTTTTCAGTTCATCGTTTGCCGGTAGGGGGTCCTGCGTGCTCTAAGGAAGCCAGCTGTTCTCAATCCCTTCATTGCCCCATTCTTCCAAGAGCTCACTGAGTTTGAATTAAGACCTCTAGTGTGGTAAGCACACAAACAAAAACGCACACACAAGACACCATCTTGATATGTCCCTTGTAACCTGGATTATTCCGGAGCCGCATGAGGAAAACCTGATGCTGCGCTGACTTCACTCTCCTGGATGCTCTCCTGCCCAAACTGTGCTGTTCTGTGTTTCACTGCCTCTCAACCCCATTACCCCGAATAGAGTTGGCCCAATTTTAACTCCCTCTCTCTCTCTTTGTGTCTTTCTGCCCCACACCCCACACACACAGGCACACAATGTAGTTTTTAAATTAGTGTTGTAATGATGCTCTTATTTGGTTACATACCATTTGTGTTAACTGTTGTTACTTCAATTGTCAATTCTGTTGTTACCAACTTTTATTTATTTTTATTTTATGTACAAAAGTATTGTTTTTATTACATTTAGATTTCAGGGAGAATTTCATCTTAATACTATAATTTTGCATTACAGCAGAGATGCTGTAATATACACTACATGACTAAAAGTATGTGGACACCTGCTTGTCGAACATCTCATTCCAAAATCATGGGCATTAATATCGAGTTGGTCCACCCTTTGCTGCTGTAACAGCCTCTACTCTTTTGGGAAGGCTTTCCACTAGATGTTGGAACATTGCTGTGAGGACTTGCTTCCATTCAGCCACAAGAGCATTAGTGAGGTCGGACACTGATGTTGGGCGATTAGGCCTGGCTTGCAGTCGGCATTTCAATTAATCCCAAAGGTGTTCGATGGGGTTGAGGTCAGGGCTCTGTGCAGGCCAGTCAAGTTCTTCCACATCGATCTCGACAAACCATTTCTGTATGGACCTCGCTTTGTGCACGGGGGCATTATCATGTTGAAACAGGAAAGGGCCTTCCCCAAACTGTTGCCACAAAGTTGGAAGCACAAAATTGTTTAGAATGTCATCGTATGCTGTAGCATTAAGATTTCCCTTCACTGGAACTAAGGGGTCTAGCCCAAACCAAGAAAAACAGCACTGTGCATTCGGGCAGGTAGCGTTCTCCTGGCATCCGCCAAACCCAGATGATGAAGCGTGTTTCATCACTCCAGAGAACATGTTTCTACTGCTCCAGAGTCCAATGGTGGTGAGCTTTACACCACTCCAGCCGACGCTTGGCATTGCGCATGGTAATCTTAGGCTTGTGTGGCTGCACTGCCATGGAAACCCATTACATGAAGCTCCCGACGAACAGTTATTGTGCTGACGTTGCTTCCAGAAGCAGTTTGGAACTCGGTAGTGAGTGTTGCAACCGAGGACAGACTATTTTTACGCGCTATGCGGTCACGTTTTGTGAGCTTGTGTGGCCTACCACTTTGCGGCTGAGCCGTTGTTGCTCCTAGACGTTTCCACTTCACAATAAAAGCACTTAGAGTTGACCGGGGCAGCTCTAGCAGGGCAGAAAACTGACTTGTTGGGAAGGTGGCATCCTATGACGGTGCCATGTTGAAAGTCACTGACCTCTTCAGTACGGGCCATTCTACTGCCAATGTTTGTATATGGAGATTGCAAGGCTGTGTCATGACTTGCCCTCATGGGTTGAGGATCAAACATGCCGGCCAGGCAAAGGTTTGAACACCCCCTTTCCTGGGGGCCAGTTTTATGACCGGTCGATTATACCGTGCAGACTTTCTATTCCTTGCCATGAAGTATTGGGAGAAAGGACCCCTTTGTTAACAAAGGAAGTCTTCCTGCCAAGACTCCAACATCCAAAAGTGGATAATGAAGCAATAGTCCTACTTAAAAGAGTGTGGGAAATGGTTGGTGGGGGCTTAAAGTATAATCATGTCAAATTCGTTACTATGTTGTGATGTCATTAAAGACGGTGGAACAACATAACTGTATCTCTGGGGGGGGGGTAAACTTCCCAGTTATGAGGTTTGCATCTAATTGTTGTATAAAATGAATGATTAAGTATAATAATACTTTTGTGAAGATAACAATGTGATTTTAGCATTCCAGATGATGATTGTTTTCCATATTGATTTGTTCTCAGTCAGTGGCCATTCCCAGATGAGTACAAACATGATGGAACGCCCCTTTTACCCCGAGTGCATAAAAAGCCTTGTGACGAAATTCACCTCAGACCAGCAGACGTGAAGCGTGAGCTAAACGTTGCAAACGGTTGAATTTCTACCAGACCAGGAAGCCCACGGCTTGAAATGGTTGACACTCTACAAGACCAGCAGACGTGAAGTGTGAGCTAAATGTTACAAAATGGTTTAAAACTACAACTCCATTACCAAAGGAAGACCAAGCATACTACGGTATAAGCCGGATGATGCAAATGGTTGAATTTCTACAAGACCAAGAAGCGTGAAGCTACACCTTACAAAATGGTTAGACAAGAAAGACCAGAACATGTGAGTCCACACATTTGAAATGGAGAAACTCTGAAACTCTCAACCTCTACACAAGGTGAAGAAGAAGACAATGCACTAGACCTTATCATTTCAGTCTGCAGCTGGCATGTATAGTCGTCTAGAGAACTTTCACTAAAGACACGAGAGAGGACAATCCCTCTCAGACAACCTCTGGTACATCTGACGTATCCATTCTAACCACCAATACGACCAGAAACTCTACCAAGTACATTGGGATCTCTGGTGAGCAAACCAGAGTTCTACATCATCAACTCAACTATCGAGGACAGCTACACGTAAATACATGTTGCATTTCTAATCCGAATTAGCGTTTAGTGGGGTTTTAAGCATTTGTATGTCCGTGTAGCGTAGTTTCCAAAGTAACCACGATAGTTTGAACCTCTGTCTCTCCCTTCCACTCTGACCCTCATTCTACCCAAGCATTCATGCTATTGTTAGTCCAGTCCACTAGGGACCTGTTTTCATTGTATTACGTTGTGTTTGTATTGTGTTATTATTTAGTTAGTAAATAAATAAGTAAGCCAATTTGTGTATTGCTGATTCATCAATAAGGTTAGGATTCTTGCAGGTTCAAGGATTTTGCGACGTTCAGAATGAGACTGATAAGAGGTAATTAATTAATAAGTTACTGTTATCGATATACAGTGGGGAGAACAAGTATTTGATACACTGCCGATTTTGCAGGTTGTCCTACTTACAAAGCATGTAGAGGTCTGTAATTTTTATCATAGGTACACTTCAACTGTGAGAGACAGAATCTAAAACAAAAATCCAGAAAATCACATTGTATGATTTTTAAGTAATTAATTTGCATTTTATTGCATGACATAAGTATTTGATCACGTACCAACCAGTAAGAATTCCGGCTCTCACAGACCTGTTAGTTTTTCTTTAAGAATCCCTCCTGTTCTCCACTCATTACCTGTATTAACTGCACATGTTTAAACTCGTTACCTGTATAAAAGACACCTGTCCACACACTCAATCAAACAGACTCCAACCTTTTGCAGGAAAACCTGCAAAATCGGCAGTGTATCAAATACTTGTTCTCCCCACTGTATATAACATACAGTGATGTGAAAAAGTGTTTGCCTCCTTCCTGATTTCTTATTTGTTTGCATGTTTGTCATACTTAAATGTGTCAGATCATCAAACAAATTTTAATATTAGTCAAAGATAACACACGTAAACACAAAATGCAGTTTTGAAATGAAGGTTGTTATTATTAAGGGAAAACAAAATCCAAGCCCACATGGCCCTGTGTGAAAAAGTGATTGCCCCCTACAACCTAATAACTGGTTGGGCCACCCTTAGCAGCAACAACTGCAATCAAGCGTTTGCAATAACTTGCAATGAGTCTTTCACAGCGGTGTGGAGGAATTTTGGCCCCCTCATCTTTGCAGAATTGTTGTAATTCAGCCACATTGGAGGGTTTTCGAGCATGAACTGCCTTTTTAAGGTCATGCCACAGCATCTCAATAGGATTCAGGTCAGGACTTTGACTAGGCCACTCCAAAGTCTTCATTTTGTTTTTCTTCAGCCATTCAGAAGTGGACTTGCTGGTGTGTTTTGGATCATTGTCCTGCTGCAGAACCCAAGTTCGCTTCAGCTTGAGGTCACAAACATATGGCCGGACATTCTCCTTCGGGATTTTTTGGTAGACAGCAGAATTCATGGTTCCATTTATCACACAAAGTCTTCCAGGTCCTGAAGCAGCAAAACAGGCCCAGACCATCACACTACCACCACCATATTTTACTGTTGGTATGATGTTCTTTTTCTGAAATGTGGTGTTACTTTTACGCCAGATGTAATGGGACACACACCTTCCAAAAAGTTCAACTTTTGTCTCGTCAGTCCACAGAGTATTTTCCCAAAGGTCTTGGGGATCATCAAGATGTTTTCTGGCAAAAATGAGACGAGCCTTAATGTTATTTTTGCTCAGCAGTGGTTTTCGTCTTGGAACTCTGCCATGCAGGCCATTTTTGCACAGTCTCTTTCTTATGGTGGAGTCATGAACACTGACCTTAACTGAGGCAAGGGAGGCCTGCAGCTCTTTGGATGTTGTTGTGGGGTCTTTTGTGACCTCTTGGATGAGTCGTCGCTGCGCTCTTGGGGTAATTTTAGTCGGCCGGCCACTCCTAGGAAGGTTCACCACTGTTCCATGTTTTCGCCATTTGTGGATAATGGCTCTCACTGTGGTTCGCTGGAGTCCCAAAGCTTTAGAAATGGCTTTATAACCTTTTCCAGACTGATCTGGATCTCAATTACTTTCTTTCTAATTTGTTCCTAAATTTCTTTGGATCTCGGCATGATGTCTAGCTTTTGAGGATCTTTTGGTCTACTTCACTTTGTCAGGCAGGTCCTATTTAAGTGATTCCTTGATTGAGAACAGGTGTGGCAGTAATCAGGTCTGGGTGTGGCTAGAGGAATTGAACTCAGGTAAGATAAACCACAGTTGAGTTGTGATATAACAGGGGGGGCAAACACTTTTTCACACAGGGCCATGTAGGTTTGGATTTTGTTTTCCCTTAATAATAACAACCTTCATTTCAAAACTGCATTTTATGTTTCCTTGTGTTATCTTTGACTAATATTTAAATTTGTTTGATGATCTGAAACATTTAAGTGTGACAAACATGCAAACAAATAACAAATCAGGAAGGGGGCAAACACTTTTTCACACCACTATATATAAGAGTTTAATACGGGAGATGGTAACTTGTTAAACAACTTCTCCATGGTGCCCCAAATTCCTAATGAGTTAATTGTTACATGATTAATTTAATCGAGTGACAATTAAACATAGTTAGTTAATTCGATAAATAACAGTCATACATTAAAGTAAGTCACGTCACGACAGCTGTGTGCTCGATTTTATACACCTGTCAGCAACTGTTGAAATAGTCGAATCCACTCATTTGAAGGGGTGTCCACACGCTTTTGCATATATAGTGTATTTCACAGTACTATTTTCCTTACTGTAAAACATTACATCATCCCTGTAAATGTACAGCAGAGATGCTGTAATATGTTTTACAGTAAGGAAAATAGTACTGTAAAATATTTTACAGCAACTCTGCTAACAGCAATATGACAGTATTAAGCTGGGAACTCTGGTTACAGGGGAAAGTTGTACAGTGGGGGCATGAGAGCAGCTGTACCTTATTGGAACAAAATTATCGTGTTATGATAATTCAACTCTTCATTGTTAAGGGAAGGAAAATAGTTCTGTCATTGCTGAGTAAACAGCTGCGAGGAGAACAGGAAGAGGGGCCCCGTGTGGCTCAGTTGGTAGAGCATGGTGCTTGCAATGCCAGGGTTGTGGGATAGATTCCCACGGGGGACCAGTATGAAAAAGTATGAAAATGTATGCCCTCAATTCTGTAAGTGGCTCTGGATAAGAGCATCTGCTAAATTACTAAAATGTAAATGTAGACTGCAGAGGAAGTGGAGCGGTAGACACATACGGAGAGCAGTAGGAGCTACAGGACCATTATATTCTTTAAATGCAATCATCAATGCAGCATCATAAGTAATATTAGGTTGTTATGTCAAGCTCAGCCTTTATCTTGACAGACAAAATATTCAATCAAGTAGTCTGATTAAATCTTATCTCCATCTAATACAACATTAAATCTAGGATCCAATGCAACGGCAAATGTAATTGAATGCAACATTAGGCTACATTTGTAATCCAATGTAATGACAATAGTTGGGATATTTATGTAGTAATAAGCACAGGAGTCATTGATACTTGCCCATGGTGCAAGAGAGGTTTGAAATGCAATAATGTATGTACACAAAGCCTATTGGCACAGCATTTCCGGCTTTTCCAAACCTCACTATGGGAGCATCAAATCAGATCAGATTTCTGGCAAGTTAACATATTTTGCACAGTTTGCACATTCATGTTGATCTATCGATTAATCAGCGAAATAAAGGTATGAAAGGGAGAGCAATGCCAGCTAGGTAAATGGAGTGAATGACTCACAGAGGAGTGAAATGACTCAATAGGAGGGCAATCTCTCTTTCTCTCCTCTCTCTCGCTCTTTCTCTCTTTACCTCCCTCTGTTTAAACTTCATTACCCCATATCTAAACTCTGATGTCCAAGAATGACTTGCATTAATCCTCACATTAACCTAAATGTCAGAAGTCAGAGCTGTGGCATTCTGTCTCTTTCACACACACACACTCACACACTCTCTCTCTCTCTCTCTCTCTCTCTCTCTCTCTCTCTCTCTCTCTCTCTCTCTCTCTCTCTCTCTCTCTCTCTCTCTCTCTCTCTCTCTCTCTCTCTCTCTCTCTCTCTCTCTCTCTCTCTCTCTCTCTCTCTCTCTCTCTCTCTCTCTCTCTCTCTCTCTCTCTCTCTCTCTCTCTCTCCCTGTCCCTCTCTCACCACATATCTCTTACCTCTTCCCACTGGTGTATGTATCTGATGAGTCGGGAAAGTCTCAGCAGCCTCAGAAGAGACAGAATCTTAGTAAACCTCACGATCCTCAGCGCCCTCGCCGTCTTGTACACCTCTGAGTCAAAACCCTTTTCCACTATTAGAAATATATAATCCACTGGTATGGACGAGAGGAAGTCGACCACAAACCAGCTCTTCAGGTAGTTCATCTTGATGACCTTGGGGTCCAGGATGATCTCGGAGCTCTCCTCGTTGACGATTCCAGTGCGAAAGTTCATGACCAGATCCACGAGGAAGATGGTGTCTGATGCTACGTTGAATATTAGCCAGGTGGTGGTGGTCTGCTCCGAGAAGAAGGTTATTCCTACAGGAATGATGATCAGGTTCCCCATCATCATGACCAGCATTACCAAGTCCCAGTAGAACCTAGAACAGACAGAAACTGGTCATCAAATAATATGGCTTTATGTAAAGTACAGTACACATCGAGAGGATTGTACCAATAGAACCTACAACAAACAGAGAATGTGTAAAAAAAACCTGATGGTTTCAGAATCTAGAATAGACACATAACATCTCATAATATGGCTTTACATATGAACAGTACACATACAGAGAATCAAACCTAGAACAATGCTCCATGCTCTTATCAACTGAGCCACAGGGACACAAAAAATCCCTGGATAATATGGCTGTATTGTTTACACAAAGAGGATTGCATCAACTTGCACCAAAGGATCCAGGCGTGGATGTGTGAATACAAAAAGCCTGTATGCCTAAACCCACACATCATTCAGAGACAGAGCCTTTATGTCATGAGTTAAAATGTAATCGTATGGATATGGAAGCCAATACTCAGCAAAAACCTTACCATTATTCTGTCAGGCACAGTTAAGAAAAATGAATGCATACGTGTCAAGGAACATGTGAAGGGAGATTATGAAGTATCAGTATCAATTTGGAGCTTAAACGAGTGCTTCTATCAAACAAATCTGTTTTTATTTTATTAATTTATCTTCCTTCCCCCTTTTATCTTGAATAATACTGTTTCAGAGGGGATTCAATAGGAAACTCGACTATATATTCCCCTGGATGCAATTTAAAGTGACGGGGGAGACTAGATTCTAGTAGTACCACTGGGAGACCTGTACCCTAAGGCTGGGAGGCTTGGTTAAGGACAATCTGACTCTACTAATATTACAGGCTGTCTCTGTGAGGTCTCTGAGAGATCTATGAGACATTTCTCCATGTACTGACACTTCAAATCGGTTACTCACATTGATGTGTGATGGCAGACAAACCAGACCTTGAAAAAAAGCTTGAAAAGCCCACATATTAAGTCACCTACATAGTTTTTTCTCTGTGTGGGGCTGGGTATGTCCTGAGAGGCAGAAACTCTTCCCTGGGTTGTGTCCAGGGAGAACTGTTTTGAAACAGAGGGATGCATGGAAGGTACTATTTTAACTTTGACCAATAAGAAATGCTAAATTTTCGTTTTCAAAACGTTTTGGCTTCTACTGAACACAAACCTGGTCCTGGTTGTGTCTGTGTAAATGTGACTCTCTCCTGTCTTATCAGAGAAGCCAAAAGTGGTCCATGAGCGCCCAGGCGGCCGTGCTGGGGGAGTCTGATCTTCAGACCGTCACAAAATGTTCTGCTGGCCTAGACCTACTGATAATGCCATTACATCCCATCCATGGCACTAAAATAGATGCTTTCAAGAATCCTATCTCATGCTAAAATCTGTCTGGTGACGCCCGTCAATGTCGATGCTAGGCTAGTCTGGGGTTGCGTCCCAAATGGCACCCTATGGGCCCTGGTCAAAAGGCGATATGGAAAAAATCCATATCACAATCAAATAAAATTAAAATTACGATAATGATAAATCTGCGATAAATTACACTAAATTATTTTTGGGAGATGCTAGAGCTGGGCGATATGGACAAAAAGTAATATCTCGATAAATGTAACTATTTTGTTCGATAACAACAAATACAGCGAAAAGGTGCAATATGCAGAAATCACTCCACCATTTCCTGGTTGCAAAAATTCTAATAGTTTGCCTAATTTCAGTTTATGTGATAAAACAAGCAATGCATGGTGTAGAGAATCATTGTACCATCTGTGAAATGTGAAATGTGAAACCGCTGTGAAATATATTTTCAATAACCAAAAATGTTGTATTTTCAGCTGTTTGAAGCTGGTTTACAAAACCGAAAGTAAAAGATGCAAAAACTACACTTAAGAACGGGAAGCATAGGAATAGCCCATATAAAACAGATCTACCGCTTCTTAGACTTGCTTTCAATGAGAATGACAGATCTATAACTCATATTTCTATGTGAATTTGGTTGGGTTGCCCAAAAGTTACATATTGCAGCTTTAATGGACAGTTACTTTACATTAGTGGCAGGGGACTTGAAGTAAGACAACTGAGATGGTAGCCTATGATTACAAAGTAAGCTATTTCATCTAACTAACATATTCAGGAAATGCATGATTGATATTTTGATGTGCAACCTGTCAAAATAGGATTCAGAATTCAAAGATGTATTTTAGGCTCTTCAGAGAATTTGCTGACATATTTGTGCATATTGGCCTATAGGCTATATTATTCACTACCTGAGGATGTAGGAACTCAAAACACTTAGCTAGATCGCTAACTCTAAATGTTATGGTAACTCTGGGTCTTCCTTTCCTGTGGCGGTCCTCATGAGAGCCAGTTTCATCATAGTGCTTGATGGTTTTTGTGACTGCACTTTAAGAAACTTTCAAAGTTTTTGAAATGTTCTGGATTTACTGACTTTCATGTCTTCAAGTAATGATGGACTGTCATTTCTCTTTGCTTATTTGAGCTGTTCTTGCCATAATATGGACTTGGTCTTTTTCCAAATAGGGCTATCTTCTGTATACCACCCCTACCTTGTCACAACACAACTGATTGGCTCAAATGCATTAAAAAGGAAAGTTAACTTTTAAGAAGGCACACCTGTTAATTGAAATGCATTCCAAGTGACTACCTCATGAAACTGGTTGAGAGAATGCCAAGAGTGTGCAAAGCTGTGCTCAAGGCAAGGGTGGCTACTTTGAAGAATCTGAAATATAAAATATATGTTGATTTGTTTAACACTTTTTTGGTTACTACATGATTCCATATTTGTTATTTCATAGTTTTGATGTCTTCACTATTGTTCTACAATGTAGAAAATATTAAAAATAAAGAAAAACCCTGGAATGAGTAGGTGTATCCAAACTTTTGACTGGTACCTTATATAGGTAATAGGGGGCCATTTTGGACACACTCTTGGTTGGAGATGCACTCTGCAGGCTGTAATGGATCTGTTTGATCAATGAAGCAGCAGCCAGTGGTCAGGTCCTTCCTTTATAAATATCTGAATATCATGTGTCTGCACTTCAGCTAAACGGTCATCTCGCTGGGTTAATAATAGACATATATTTATAACACCAGGCGAGGCATCGCTGATCTCATTCCACAGTCAGGGTGGAATGTTCTCACATTGAGCTTGTTTGAAGCACCAAATCACTAACGTACAGTAGGAACCTGTCTGGGGGATTTCAAAACGTAAATTAGGCCAAATCACTTGGCAAATATGACTGGAAAGGACCCTTGTGAGTATCAAGCCCAATATACTACATTTATGGGCATTTCTGTGCTAGAAAACTGGTGGCTATATATTTTATCTCTGCAGACATATCATCTAAGCAAATTATGATTTTATTCCTAGCTATCTACATTGTCACAGGTGGAACCAACCTGCACCACATGGCCTGTTAGCTGATCTACAAACTCGAGAGAAAACAGGCATCCTGCCCTCCACAGATAGGCTTCATGCTGTATATCATGGCAGGATCATGTCATGTCTATGTACTTAACTCAGTCATATAAACAAACAAACAAATGGGGGCCATTTTGCATACGACAACTCGTTTCTCCCATTAGCCAGTCTTCCTATTAAGGCCGGTGCTGCTGCTGCTATACCAACAGGATATACTGTAGGTATAATATAATAGGTGTTGTTATTCGAGAAGTGTGTTGTAGAGGTCTTCATGGGTCCAAAAAGTTGGACCCGGACCTGAACGGACCCGAGGACAATCAGACACGAACCGAAAAGACCCAATATATCTAATTTATTTATGGGGACACGGACCCGAACGGACCCTAGAGAAAAAAATTAATCTGCTAAGTTGCTCTTCTGCTTAACAAATAGGTATTTATATGTTGGCTAGGCCTTCTATAAGTCAATAAATTCACCTTATTAGCGTAAAATAAATATAATGTAGGCTATGCAGAGCCGTGTTCGGGTCCATTCGTGTCCACTCAGCTGTAGTTGAAAATCAAACAGGACCGGACCCGGACCCGAGGGACAAGTTAGAATTTCAGACCCGAACCCAATTGGGCCTGGGTAGGATCTCGGGTATATCGGGTCCAACTAGACCCGTGAAGACATCTAGTGTTTTGTTCTACATTGAATCCAATGACTGTGCAGCGACTGTGGAATTGAGGTCATTGCTCTGTATTGTACTGTAGCAACTGTAGGTATAAAAAACAGAGCAGAGAGCAGCACTGCTAATTAGGGAGCACCAGAGGGCATGGATTTGGTAAAAAGTGAGATACTGGTTGCGTCTGCAATGGCACCCTATTTACTATACAGTGCACTACTTTTGAAGAGGGCCCATAAGGGCTATGCTCAAGAGTAGTGCACTATACTGTATATTGAATGGAAAAAGTAAGACACTTTTTTCTTCACAATGTCCTTTGTTAGACTAAGTTAGAACACCTCTTTGATCTGAAGAGGAAAAAAGAGAAGCTAGTCCCAACCACTTCAATAATAAATAATGCACAACATAGTCGCACGTCTCTAAAAATAGGTTTGTTTTGGTGTTGTTGTTGGAATCTGAAGATATTTGTGTTTGATGACATTCTGCTGTTCTCATCATATTGGAATTTCACATTTTATTTTGATCAAATATTGTGATTAAGACCTATTTCAAGTGTCTTCAACAAAGGTACTGCAGTGCTGTTACAAAAGCACTAAACTAGTATGTTTAATGCTGTTATTGAGACTTACTGTATGTAGTTAATGATGATTTAACTTATTACAAAGTAATAATGTCCTTCATTCAATGTCCCTCATATTTTGGTCAATATCAACTGATACTACAAGAAGGCCATGCAGCAATGCTATCTGAACATGGTCATGCTAAAAGAGTCCCAAGAAAGAAAGAGTTTCACGGAAGACAGAAGCTTCTCCAAACGGCCTATGCTACACCAGGCCAAGCATGAACCTTTTCTGAAATCTATAAATAATGAATATTACTAACCAGCCATTAAACTTTAAGCAGCCTCTGTACTAAGAATATGTTAGAAGATTGAGTTTCAGAAGCT